GCCTTTTTGCTATCTTGGTTATTAAGTAATATATTCCACCATGTTGTCCACATTTAGACTTGTCCGCATTACAACAACATGGGGCGCAGTGTCAAAGATGCGCATGTAGTCCATCTTCAGAACATTATAGTTTTATCACGGCAGTAAAATTTGCCGTCACATAAATACGTCGCTTAGAAAAGAGCAGTCGGATGGGGGGTGATGGCGCAATGGATAAGACAGTGGCACTGTCGCCCATTATTATATTTCACTTCTTCAGGAATTAAACCTATCCCATAATCTCTGACCTTTGGCTCTGTTTGCCCACCACAGATTGCCAGGTGCAAGCAGCTGATCTGCGACCCCAGCTACGCTATGGATCGTGCCACCAAAGTGGGTCAGTGATCAGAGTCATCTGCATCATGAGTCACCCTATCGCAAACACTGGCAACGTCAACTCTTGCCAGATCATCATCCCCCAGAATCAAGTCAACAGGAAGCATGGTGAGTACGCAAAGGAAATGAGCAGATGACTAAGACAGTAGTATTTTATTTCTTTATCTTAAATCAAATACAAATGTAAGGAAAAAGCTACATGAGGTTTGGAATATAGGGATGAGGAATATAAAAGGGACTGATGTCTAATTATATCAGTAATATTGAAAATAAAGTATCTTTTTACGTCAGTAATATTTTTGTTAGAATGTCCAAAAGAAGCAAATCTCTGCATCATGTTGCTTTTTTTTGTTTCCACTATACAAATTGAACCTACAGAAGTGGTGGTAAATGTGTGCAATCCTGTGTGACACCTCTAGTTTTAACAGACTTAGAGAGAGCTATGAAAAACAGCTGACCAATCAGTCAGATAACATTACATAAAGATATTTTAACCTATCTACAGGAAAACCACCGGGCATTAACTTTAGTTTTTGTTTCCAGACATCTACGTTTGTATGATCTCCTCTGCCCACAATGTGGCAGCACAGGGTAAATATATCGCCATCGCCAGCACCACAGTGGAGACTAACGACCCTGAGAAAGAAGTCAAGCCGGCTCTGGACCTGCTGGAGCCCATCGAGCAGAAGTTTGTCAGCTATAGTGACCAGTATGCACCCACTGACATGGGCACTGACAGCCAGGTACGATACCTTAAATATAAAGAACCATAGCGCTGTTTACTGTATGTTTACTGTATGTTTTAGACCTCCCTTGTCATTTTAACAGGGCTTGTATTAAAACTAAATGTTCTCACCAGAGAAAGTGAAAGCCAACTCCTAATGCAACGGTGCCGTGGGTACGAGTCACTCTAGCCTGATTTACAGGTTGCCATGGACGACTTGTCAATAACGGATGATCCCGACCTGAAGCATACTCTGCTTTATGGTCTGTTTTCCTCTAAATAGGACCATAATTTACTAAATGAACATCGTGTTGTATTGAAGAAGACTTGAAACTAGAGATTGAGACCATAAACTCAATTAGGAAAGTGTTTACTGAGGTATAAATCAGCTGAGAAGTAGGGTCATTTTACCATTATTTCTAATGGAACTGGACTTCTTTTTACAACCAGAAGAGTCGCCCCTGCTGGCCGTTCAATAGAATGCAGGTTTAAAGGACTTCCGCGTTGGATTCACGTCTCAGACCGGAAGCTTCCCGCTTGTTTGTTACTGAAAGAAATGCCAGAAAGATTATACATTCTTTGCTGCCCCTTTATTTTCTTATCAAAATGATACAAAGTGGGAAGTCTGTCTGTGCAGAAGTGCCTGCAAATGTAATTTTCTGGCCCTGTACACTAATGGATCATAAATAATAGAATCTCTGTTATACTTTTAAACACATCACATCAATGTTTTAATTTCTGGATCTGTGGAGCATTCAAAGCCGAGCAGCATGTTCCGTCAGTCTGTGAAACTAAACACTAGCTAAATACAATGTCATTTTAAAAAGGGATGCACCGAATGTATAGGCACTGAAATTAATCAGCCGAAAATGGCTAAAATAGCACTTTCTGTGTTCGGCCTAATACGTCAAAAGACTGATTAAATTTTACCGAACAGTTACGTTGACATGTGGGCAGTGTGGGAGCATTTTAAAGTGTCCGAGAAAAATGCTAAAACGCTGTCTGGAGACACTGTTCTGCTGAACTGTCTCCTAGCACGTCTTAGAAAAGGCAACAAACGGTCTGAACCGCTTTTGAGTGTTTGTCACTTGTTTGTGAGAAGACGATTAAGCTAACTGTTCATGTAATGCGATACAAGAACCTCATACAACATATTTATCAAATTGGGTCAGACATGATGAATTTAGCACGAGGATACACATGTGACAACATCTGATTTTCAAAATAAGGTGTCTATACAGGATGAAAAAAATATTAATTGGATTATATTCTCAGAAAGTATTAAACATATTGCATGTGTCCATTAATAGTAAATGGACACATGTAATTTACTTTACCGGACCCTCTCAGGCCTCGGACCCACCCACTATAGTCTCTCCAAATCCTGTGGGAAAGCACATTTTGACTATTTAATTTATGCAGTGGTAAAAAAAGCAAAATAAATGTAAAAAATGTGAATGTACTTGTTCGGTGTTCGGCAGATTTTTCATTATATTCGGCTTCAGCTTCGGCCAACAATTTTCGTTTTGGTGTATCCCTAATTTTTAAATATAATGGTTAGAATAATACAACTTCACAAATTCACTTTGGACAGGGACCTTTGTTTCATGTAGTTCCCCATTTCACCACCAGAATACCAAAGCAGCATTTCAGAATACAAAAACCAAGCAAGAGTACACTGTTGCATAGCAATGTGCCAGACCACGCTGCACAATGAATGAATGAAAACAAAGATTTTGTATCCTAATGTGGGTATACATGAGCAAAACAGTCCGATGTGAGCCACTTTCCCCTGTAGTCTGAACGTAGTGTTGATGTAACGGATAATGTGCCTCAGCATGTTGCTGTTATGTATTAACTTGCTGTCTTTGCACTACTGTGACTTTTTGCTGCCATCATGTGAGGGCAGAGTTATGTCAGCAGAATGTCCGTCCTGCAAAGGAAGCCTTTTTAGTCTGTTTCCTTCCATCTGTTGCTATTCAATAGAGAATAACACATTTTTTGTATTTTAGTTTATCTTTCTATCTTCTGTTGGCTAATGGCCTCATCTTTGGCCGAAGACTGTATCCATCTAGCACAGACAGAATGCTTCTTGGACCGCTTTTTGACCTTGTTTTCTCCCCTCTAGATTTTCATCTCCCGTTCATATGACGCCACAACTCACTTTGAGACCACCTGCGACGACATCAAAGACATCTACCGGAGGATGACGGGCTCAGACTTTGACTTTGCCGAGATGGAGCGCAAGAAGCAGGACATCTTCGGTGACGCCGCTGAGTAGAGGCGAAGTGTGTCTGCAACACTCCTGGTTATCAAAGACAACGCTGCCGACAACTGAAATCTTACAAAAAAATAGAAAACCTACACAAAAATGTACACACCAATGGGCTGGTTGATTATCTAAGTATATGGTTTGCCCATTGAGGAAGTTCATGACATATAGAGAGATATGATATAGTATTGTTGGATAGGGTTCAGGGAGGGAGCTATGCTTTGCTTTTATGGATGTTGCACTAAACACTGGTTATGCCTAATATACAGTAATACCCTACATTCTTCTGCTTCATCATGTTAAGGTGATGCATAGTCCAAAGATGCCAAATCTATGTCATAATCAGTAATATCTTACAGAGTGGGGGGGGGGTCAGTTTTTTCCTGTCATTGTTTAAAAGGCATTTGGAAGATATATAATATCTACACATCCGCTATTTTGTCTCTGCAAGTATTTTTTCATGTCAGGGTGAGAGAGAAGTGGCTTGGCTTTGTAGGTCTTCATAAAATCATGCGAGTAGCTGAGTGTTTCCTGCAGCGGTGTGAGGTGGCACCTCAGCCGTCAGCTTGTGTCGTCAGGTTTTGTGAAATTAAAGTGGTTAATGGGTGTGGGCTTTAAATGTTTGTGTCTTTTTAACCCCTTTCTTGTCTAATCTCCAGTACAGCCAGACACATACTGTAAGCCAAGCCACAAGGGCGACTGTAGTCCAGCATAAACCACCTGAACCTGTTTTCAACAGTTTGAGTTACTATAACGCATCAGAGGAGATATATTAGTTCCTGTATTATGCAAAGTGATGGACGACCCCGAGCACTGACAGCAGATTAATGGGAAGTGTGGTTGACTGTAATTGCTTAAGAAGGACCAAATGTGTACTGAGGCAGTGCTGAATTGATGAGAGCCCTGTGATATCTTCTGTTTTAAACAACTTTAAAAAAACATCTTGGACTCAAATGATTTCTGTACTGCAAAGTAAAAACAACTGTCAAAAACCAAGCGTGTTTTTTGTTCTATTGTCATCTGTTCTATTACATTTCTGACTTTGCTTGGAGTGAGCAGTGACTGGTGAAAGTGTGCAACACATGTCTGCTTCTGACAGCAGCTTTTTACTGAGGCCGAAGATTAATCAACCCTGAACTGACTTTTAATAAAAATACTGGTTATTTAGTACCAATTGTATGCATTGTTGTTGTAGCCACAACCAAACCACCACAGAGAAGAAGGCGCCCTCAGAACAGTTGTTTTGTGATATTCAAATAATGAAGTTTAAGACTTAACTGTATGTCGGGCATTGAATTTAGGATTCAAAGCAGCATTTTATTTGCAGTTTGAGAATCATGCCTTACAAAAAAGTAAAGGTTTTAAAAATTAAAATGATGTTGCAGTCTGATTTATGTCCTGTGCTTTATAAATTTAAACAGCTAAGATTTTTGAAGTGGATCTTATTGAGGCATTCAATTATTTTAATAAAACATAAAATATTTAAGTCTGGCTATTACAACAAATGCATTATGGAATAGTTGAATGAATGGAATGAGTTGTCTCTTCATGTCTGAACTGGAGACCTCTGAAATACCTCAAGAATAAAGTCACAGGAAACGTAACACCTGTGAACTACGACTCCCACAATTCTCTGCTGCGTCTCTGGCAGGTCTCCCGATACTTGCTGCATTGGCTAATGTTTACAGTCCTATGGTTCGCCTGTAGTCCAGCACAAGGTGTTTGGAAACATGGAGGTGACAGCAGCACGCCGTTCGTTTCTTTGTGATATCGGTGAGAACTGTTTTCACAACAGCTTACACTGCAAATGTCAGCTGCCTCAATAATGTCTCGAATGGCAGTCGATTTTGTTGTTTGTTGACGTCTAATCATATCAACTCCGGCTCGTGCCCTGCTCGTGCAACTGTCACTTGCAGTCTCAAATCTAAAATTGAAGATTTCAGCCGGCACATTAATACGCTGTAATGTCACCCATGGCCGTAGGTAGCCTAATAAGCGAGTTCTGGCAGTTCCAGAACTGCTTCATGTAGGCCTGCTAACTGTTTAAAAATAGTTATTCAAAGTTACACAATTTCGTTAAAGAAACTACGTTAAGCCAAGACACACACACAGGGAATTTATTGTTTTGGTCGCACATATAGTCGTTAATTCAGCCACCAATAATAATTTACCCGTTTCTTTGATATATTACTGTTATTTATTACCTAGCATCCAGTCTGATTTTGCCTATAAGCCAAAACTAATAGTTTAATAGTTTTAAAGAGTAAAAGAATTTTTATGAACATGCATGATTTTGTCTACAGTGTAACTAAGGCTTGTTTGTAATGTTGTGGAAACAAATACAAAGAGGTAAGAGTTACAGTATTAGCTTTGTTAAAATATGTTTTAAAGTTGTGAGACTTACAAGTATTTGTAGGAAAATGTAAAATTTGAAAAAAGCTTTCATTGTTCCCAAGTGTTTGTAAAAGTACTGTTCATGTGTTACTGTCTGCATCAGGGTTCTGGGCAGACCGGACTGCCCTGCATGAAGCAGCGTCCCATGGCAGGGCCCTGCAGCTGAAACAGCTGATAGAAAGTGGAGCATCAGTCAACATGGTGACGGTGGACAACATCACTCCGCTCCATGAAGCCTGCATACAGGCTCATCCAAACTGTGCCCGGCTGCTGCTGGAGGCTGGAGCCCAGGTGGGATAAAACCAAAACTCCATGATGCTCCCTCTATAGTGGACCAAACTTAACTTTTATACATGAAATTAAAAGAAATTAGATTAAATCTTATCATGAACCTAATAAAATGGTGCAGGCTTAATTAATTAATAGTACATTTGTGAGGTTTGGGAAGCAACGAGAAAGTCTCCGTATTTACCGTGGACCTTTGGCAGTGCCCAGGTAGTGGACTTTCTGGCACCTCTCCAGCTAAAAGTCCGTATGACTGGTCCACGCTCCGGTTCCCAAGCCAAGTCCTCGCAGACTGAGCTGCAAATAAACTTTATTTATATCATCCACTTTTCACATTGTGATAGTTCCCAGTAAGCCTAGCATGTGCCGCTAAAATGTTGGTAACAATCTTACCCTGCTCTTCCAGGTGGATGTACGGACCATCCATGGCAGCACTCCTCTGTGTAACGCCTGTGCTTCTGGCAGCTTGGAGTGTGCCAAGCTGCTTTTGGAGTACAGAGCCAAAGTTAACCCATCCCTCACAGCTCTCACTGCCTCGCCACTCCACGAGGCCTGCATTCAAGGTAAATCTTAAGCAGCAATAAGACAGGGTTCAACCAGTCATACCCCATCAGACGTCTCCACTGTAAGTAAAACTTTACATTCCTCTCAGGTAATGTTGAAGTAGTGAGGCTGATGATAGCCAGCGGTGCCATGCTGGAGGCGTATGATGTCCATTTTGGTCCACCCCTTCACATCGCATGTGCTAAAGGACACGTGGACTGTGTCAAGGAGCTGCTTAATGCAGGTCAGCAAGACGACTGCAGTGTCAGAAAGAATGAATTGGTCCTTAAAACGGAAAGTGTTGAATGGTTGTGTCCTACATTTCTCTCAATGCCAAGGCCAGCAGGCTGTCACACTAGCTATGTGTAAGTTCAAAAGTAGCTTAGTTTGAAAGTAGTCAAAGAGTTACTCTCTACCTTTATACTAAGATATAACTTCAAATGTACACCTCCCCTGTGCAAGTGTAAGTCATTCCTTATTACGTGTTGTCATTGTGAATGGTTAGAAAGATGGAGAGAGCAAGAAGAAGTCTTTTCTGTAAGATGTAAGATGGACGTTTTCTGCAGACCTTTTGTTAATGTTTTTACGGCACAAAACATCAAAATACAAAAGAAGCAACTGGCAAATGATACCTGAATTATTAATGAGGTAACCGACAAACAGCTCACACATGAAAGCATACATTACTTTCACCTTTTTAATTAAACAGAAGTTAGGTGTCTTTCCCATTTTACATGAATGACGTTTTACTCCGCGATAATGTTTTCATTCAGTCAACTTAGTTAAAGGTTTCCTGTGTAGTTTTTGACCTCTACTACCTCTGTTGAACTGTTTTTATATGAGTGGGCCCCCATTTATTATTTTTGTTGTGCACGGGCTACGTAATACACAGCACTGCCAGTGGTTTCACACTATTCCACGGATTTAAAGCTGGATGTAATGCGCTAAGATATGCAGCAATGTCCCAGCAAAGACAGGAAGAAGAAGACTGCTAGCAAGTAAAAGTATGGATGTAACCAATGTTGGACTAAAAATACTTTTATTTTTGTACTTTCTATTATTTATTTAATAAAATTTAAAATCAGCTTGGCAGTTTTTTTATGAGGAAGGAAATGGACTAGACACTAGATTTGCTAGAGTTCAAGGATGCACACAATGCGTTTTGGCAAGTAACACCAAATGTAAACATGACTTTACTTTGTTTGGAAGAAAAGTCCACAGGGCACCTTTAAGTGAAAGCATAAGTAGGGGTGGTGCAACTGAACAAAGAGGTGAGTTTAGTGTGAAACTTATGTTGGACAACGTAGAGCTGAGTGTTGACTGTATGAACTTATGCTCAGCCGGTGCAAAAGTTTGCTGAGCTTGTTAGGGCTATCCCTTGTAATTTGATGATTTAGATGTGAGAGAGTCCCCAATTGATTATACAAGTCATCAAAAAAAAATTTGTAGGCAACAACCTCTTGCCAGTGTCGTTGCAGGCTGCCAGCCTGGTCTTGTTCATTGCACCTGGTTCAAGTCTTGCTTTAGTGATGTTTGGAGGCAAACTTCTGTCCCTTTCACCCTGAAATCAGTGATTTAACATTTAACCACAGCACCCCTCCGTGGTGATTTGTTTTCCATAGCACAAGCTGCAGCAGAATGAGATATATACAGAGTTTTATGCAAGAGCATTGCTTCTTCCATTTTGATTTGTTTTAAAAACGTAATATAAAAATGTAGTCAATGTGGTGAAACCTTATTAAAATGTACAATAAACAATGAAAATGAATTAATCTTGCTTCACCCATTTGCTAAAGGAACTGCTGGTTTACATATAATAAATGTCTCATAACAAGCGATCCGTACCAGTGTTCTACTGAAAGTGTAATATATATTTTATATATATAAAATTCTTATTTTTAAAAAACAAAAAAATGCAATAAAAGCATCTGCTGGACAGTTGTGGTATGCTCAACATCACAAGTTTTGGCTCTTGGTAATGTTAGTACATTATGAAATTCAACTTACAGAGACTTGAATCGCATTGAATTGCGTAAGATTAGTGTTGAATTCCGTCTGGAATATCTTTGAAAAAACCAACAGCAGCGAGCAACAGATCATTTCAGCTGTGATGAGTCCATAAATCTATACAAACAGGCTTAAGCTCGTCTTAACTTCCTCCAGGTGCCAACGTGAATTCTGTCACGTTCCACGAGACAGCTTTGCACCATGCAGCACGAGTCAACATGGTGGACATGATCGAGCTGTTGGTGGAGTTTGGAGCTAACGTGTACGCCAGCGACAACCTGGCAAGGAAGCCCATAGACTACACAACACCTGCCTCTCCTGCTTACGCCTGCCTCATGTTTTATGAAAGTAAGTTCATGCACTGCTCCAGAGAGGAGCTGTTAGCAGCCTTTTTTCTTTTCTCACTTTTGCTATTGACTCAGCATAGCATAAACCTCTTCTTCTCAACAGGTAATCCTCTGAGCCTGCAGCAGCTTTGTAGAATCGCCGTGAGGATGATGCTTGGTACCAGAGCCTTAGAGGTCATAGGTCAGCTGGACATTTCCCACCGCATCCACAGCTACCTCCAGTACTGTGATCATCCCACATCATTATGTGACACCTGAACTGATGTTCTAAACCTGTAAGAGAGACTGGTGATATTCTCTTAAAATGTCTCCACTCTAAAAAGAAGCATCATGGACAACATATCAGCTAATAAAATGTTAGGTTAGCCACCATATTTCTTTGATATGTCATGTGACTCAGGATTGATGTCATCATTGCTTCTTTAATTGTCCATCTCGTTGTATTGTAATATAATGTAGTGTATTATGCAGTATCTATCCTGACGTAGAATAAATTGTCGTTCTTCACAGATCATGAAATAACCTGTTTGGTGTAAACACTACATACCCCAGCATGGCTTGGAGTTCCGGGTATGTCACGTGGCTTCTGCCGCATGTAAATATTTACACGGACCCGGCTGATTACAAACATCTCGTGTCTCCGTTTCTGTGTTAACGTTGTTAATTTGGCGCGGAGAGGAAAGACAAAGGATGGAAATTGAAAGTGCTCGGCCGTATTTCTTTGGAGACATCGGTGAGTATGAAATAAAGACAACAGGACCGGTGAGAGTAACGTTATCGCTTTCTGGATCTCGACCCAGTTTGACATGTATGTTAGGACCATCAGCGGGCAAGCTAACATGCTAGCAAGCGGCAGTTCCTGGCACGTTTTACTGATTCTTTAGCCAGCCTTTTAACATTTGTGGCACTGCAGAAGGTGTGTATAAAAAGCCTTTGACGTATAGTATACTACACATTGACTATAGTAATGTGAGAAAATGGCATTGGAATTATGCGGTGCTGACAACAGGAAAGTACTCAGAGCTCTCAAGTCTTATTAAAAGTGAGATAAGGAGGAGTCACTCAGATATTTGCTGCAGCGGCCCCTCTGCCCCAGCCAAGTTTTTACTAGCAGTTAAATTTTACCTATAGTTCATAAGTAACTCGAACAAATAGAAAGTATAACAATAGGTAAATATGATAAGACACTATATATATACTTCAAAAATTCAAATGTATCAAAGTAAAAAGAAATTTGGCCCCAAAGGAGCCCACTGAACAAGCAGCGCTGTACACATAGGCCTACAGTAGAATGCCAAGCTGTGTGCCAAGATTATGAAGGGTGTTTTGTGTTGTAATTGTTTGTTGCACATTTTAATGCCTTGATAACAGGGGTAGGGGGCTCCCGCTTAAAGCACTGTGGCTCAAGGTCAGCTATTTACACCGTCATGATGGATGATAGCTTTCCATCCAGAGCCAAAATATAGAAAAACCTCTCTATTCCTTGCCTTAGTTTCAGGTAGCCGAAGCTAAGCCCAGTGGTGGACAGTAACAAAGTAGTACTCTAGTTAAGTACACATTAGAGGGATTTGTATTTTCTTTTCTAGCCACTTTCTACTTCTACTTCACCACATCTCAAAGGGAAATATTGTACTGTTTACTTTATCTGACAGCTTAATTACTAGTTACTTTAAAAATAAGCTTTTTGCACACAAAATGTATTTAGAGTTTAAAAAATAGGATGAAAGTTAAATTACTTAACAGTTTATAGAAGTCCAGTTAGTATCAGTTAATCAGTTAGTCAGCTAATTGACAGAAATTTAATTGGCAACTGTTTTGGTATTAGTCATGGTTCCAGCTTCACAAATGTGAAGATTTGCTGCTTTTACTTGATTATTTTAATGAATTTTAATCAGTTTTGGACTGACAAAACAAGCAGTATGAAGGTGTCACTTGGGTGCTGGATAACTTTGACAACATTTCTCACTATTTTCAGAATTTATTACAAATCATTTAATATACAGTTATGTACTATAGCAACCTTCACAATAATACAACAAGATTAAGATGCTTCTTTATTCACCATACTATAAGAACAACAATAGGTGATAATACTTGATTACTACCCATCTCTACACATGTTCTCTTGTGACCTGTTCCCCTGCAGGCTGCTGGTCAGAGAGAACAGACATGCACAAGGCAGCGTCCCTCGGCCAGGCCGTCCAGCTGCAGCACCTCATACAAAGCGGAGCCTCAGTCAACGTCGTGGCGGTGGACTCCATCACGCCGCTGCACGAGGCCTGCATCCGTGGACAGACCCAGTGTGTACGGCTGTTGCTGGATGCTGGAGCCCAGGTGAGGGCGACAGACAGATGCCTGTCTGCCATGTCATGGGGTGATTTTTGTAGAAAACGGCTATCGGTGTCTCCTTAAACCTAATCCCTAAACTATCCCACACATTTCCCACACAGCCATTAAATTCATAAACATGATATATATTGCAATGAACACAGAAAGATTCTGCCCAACAAAATATAATATAACTATAATATATATATATACTGTATCATCCTAAATCCCATGATGCATCTCAGGTGGACGCGAGGAACGTAGACGGGAGCACTCCGCTGTGTGATGCCTGTTCAGCTGGAAGTTTGGAGTGTGTAAGGCTCTTGCTGGAGCATGGTGCCAAAGTCAACCCTACCCTCACGTCCCGCACAGCCTCACCTCTCCATGAGGCCTGCATGGGAGGTGAGTGCCTCAGCTCAACTTACGTGCCTTTTGGCTTTCACACCTTCCCTTATTTAGTTTACCCCCTTGGTGCGCTTCATTTGGGCTGGTATGCCACTCAGGTGCGCACAACAACAAGCACAAGCGTACACAAGCAGACCTGGTGGTGGACTCGGCCCACTTTCAATAGAACTCTGGTACGGATCGCTTGTGATGAGAAAGCAAATAAACCAACCACAGGATTTATTGATAGCAGATCTGTGATCTGAGCATTATTTCTAAAGCTAATAAATCCATCTGCTGATTGTGAAATGTGTTCAGGAAGCAATCTTATAGTTGATCTTTATAAGCTATAATAATGCAAATCATTTGTTTACCACGTATACATGTCAGTGCAGGTATTTACCCTGATTATTAGGGTAAAAGCTGTAAAAAAAAAAAAAATGTCCCTGTACTCTGTGTACTTCAAAAAGTTTATAAAACATTTTTTGAAAGCGATCCCACAGTCATTAGCTCTGAATCGTTACTGTACAAGACGCCTGCTTTTGTCCTGAACTGCAGGTGTGAAAGCAGCCTTAGCTTCTGTGAAATCGAGTTACCCATCTGTTTAAGCATGACGGTAATCTTTATAAAACAGCGTATATGACACAATATTGTCCTATCATTTTTCAGGAAACTCAGAATGTGTGAAGCTCCTGATTAACATGGGGGCCTGTCTGGAGTCATATGACCTTTACTACGGGACCCCGCTGCACATGGCTTGTGCTAACAAACACACTGACTGTGTTAAAGTGCTACTCAATGCAGGTAAGCGTCATACTCCAATTATCAGTGTGGCCAAACATGCAGTTTGGCATGTTTTAGGCTATTAACTACAAATTGTATAAACTTTACTAATGACCATTTGACAAAGCAGTTTGTTTAGACTGATCCCCCCTCTTCCAGGTAGCCACTTTTTTCAGCACCCTGTGAAAATCAACATGCAGGTAGTTGAAACGTGAATAAGATAGGTAAAGTATCTGCCTAAAGTAAGCGTCATGATGCAGTTGCAAGTATGGACAAATCTGTAAACTCTTCCTTATTAGTGCTTTTTTACAAAAGCTCTGACATGCGAGCATTAGTTGCCAAACACCAAACACTCTTTATTGTTTGTGTAAGAGCTACATTACATTACAAATAACAGAGTTGAGTTTGTTAATAAATGCATTACATTGCATAGGAATATGAATTGAATTATTGTGAAAATGCAGTTTATTTTTGTAGAACATATAAAACACATAAGAACAGGGATATTTCCAAATGTTTTCCATTTTGAGAGAAGCTCTGTTGGGATTTACCTTGTGGATGGAAATTGAAAACTTGACTCCATATGGAGGATGTTAGTAAACCGTCACACCCATACGATTGGTCGTCCACCTTTTTTTAGAGTCAGATTGAGATAGACCAAGAGGATCTCCCAACACTGTGATTTCGCCCCTACACTTCGTCTTGCACATCAGATTTGACACCAGAACTTGTGGTTTAACAATATAGGCAGCTAAGCAACTGGCATTGAAGTAATTGTAAAATGTTTTCCATGGATTATGGTTGGCAGTAAAGTGATTTGTAGTGTTTGTAAGGTTTAAGCACAAGGCTCGTGATATTCTAGATTTTTTTCAAATCACATGAAAAGATCAAAACCAACAATAAATTTATTCTAATAACAATTGTGTGTGTATCCAACACCTGATACACTGTGTCTTCTTCCTCTGCGACATAGGGTTGATCTTTTGATGAGATTTGTTTGCGATAAGAAAAGGCAGCCTTATCCTTCAAGGGCAGACATTGATTAAGTTCAATTTCATTTATAAATTACATTAATGTCCTTTTCCTTTTAGGTGCTAAAGTGAATGCTGCCAGGCTACATGAGACTCCGCTGCACCACGCTGCTCAAAACATGCGAGTTGAAATGATAGAGATACTGGTGGAGTTCGGGGCCAACGTCTACGCCAGAGATCAGCACAACAGGAAACCTGTTGATTACACCACGCCAGGTTCTCCCTCTGCCTCCTACCTACAGTTTTATGAGAGTAAGTTATTCACGAAAGTCAGGGCTGCATAGAAAACAAATCTTTAGATCTCCCAGTTTGTGTAGTTGCCTTTATTCCTGGAGAGGTGTAGTGTCAACATAGCACCAGCTGATGGCAGGCAAGGATCGCTTTTCACTTCCATGAAGTCCCACACAGATGACACCTGTTGTGTACCACGATGCTCATATATACAGCTAGTCAGGTATAGGTTAGCTGGTATATGAGAAGGGGGTGATTTCCACTTCTTAATTCCAGGGACAGAGCTTTATTTAGAAGGTGCAGCACAGTGTGGAACAAGAAATGCACAGCAGTTTTTAGACTTTAAATACAAACAAATAAGACTAGAATTATCATACTTTCCATAGTTACATTTAGTTACAAATCTCACTGAAAATACTCATACATTCAGTTTTAGCTAATTGATATTGCAATCTGTTTACCAGTCCCATGGTGTTATTGTGACTTGATTTTTTTTGTATTTCTTTTTTTTTTTTCTGTCTGCAGCCACTCCTATGAGTCTCCAGCAGCTCAGCAGGTTGGCAGTGAGGAAGAGGCTGGGCACCAGAGCTCTGGAGGTCATAGTTCAACTGAACATACCAAAGCTCATCATAAGCTACCTCTGCTATCAGTGAGTGTCGTCTGGAGGAAAGACTGAAGACTCACAGAGCTGCCGCACAAGTCAGCAAAGCTGCCACCCCATTAGATATCATAATAGTAGACATACATTTTAG